CCTTTCTCCATGGCCTGTGTTGAAGGATATTGTACAGTCGCTGGACAGATAACTGCATCTGGAGAGTTGGCTGCAGGATGCCTTGGCAATGGGATCTGTTGCTTTAAGACTTTAATGGCTTTTGAGCAGTTTAGAATAAAATAAGTGCCCTTTTAAAAGATTTGGTCATAACAGTTGCAATAAACAAGAATCACAGAGCCATAAAATGTAATATAAACCAGACTCTTTCCCCCCCCCCCCCCCCCCCCCCAAAAGCCTGGACAAATAAGAATTTTTGCCTGGTGCTGAAAAAGCAAACAAAAAGCATATGTGGGAAAGGAGACGCTTCCTCGTTTCAAAGGCCCCTTGGAGTTGGTGGGTATCCAAGGAGATCTTCCATAACTGGTCTTAACTGGTGGTCAGGTTCATCAGGAGAAGAGGAAGTCCTTCCATCTTGAACCTGTGCCAGAAAAAGGCTTTGGGGCAGTGACATGACTATTGTATGTTGTGTTACGTAGTGTGTTGGGGAAGAGTGTGAGCACCAGTCATCTTCCGTGGCATGGCTTATCAAGGTGGCATCTCACCACCTCAAGTGGCCCTTCCCATGGGTTGTACTGGGAACACCAGAAGATACTTCCATACACCAATAAATCTTGTGGAGAAAGCCTCTTTTTGCTATTAAATGTGTTTGAGTGGACTGTAGACCTAGAGTAACTAAAGAGACCTGTTTTGGTTGGGGGACGTCTTACAAAGGCACCACATTGTTCTGGCAATTAGCTTTGTACAATCCTTTGGCAAGACATAGCATCCAGAGGTGGTATTCAGCAGGTTCTGACCCATTCTGGAGAACCGGTAGCGGAAATTTTGAATAGTTCGGAGAACTGGCAAATCCCACGTCTGACTGGAGATTTTACAGTATCCTTCCCCTGCCACGCTCACCAAGCTACGCCCACAGAACCGGTAGTAAAAAATTTGAATCCTACCACTGATAGCATCCCTTCAGAATTTTCCATATCCTGAGTATGCTGAATTTCATTTTAAGAATGTCCAAGGAGAAATTCCCAGTTCTAACCTAGGATCTGGTGAGATCTGATGCCCCTGTTGCAGGAATCCATGCTTAAAAGCATCAGGATGGAGGATTTGCAAAAGAACAAGTGCCAGAGTGTTGTTTTTTTAATAAAAAGTTTTTAAAATTTTTTACAACAAACCTAAACATAAAACAACAAATAAAATCTTTCAGTTATACAGCATGTCAGTTGGTACATGTATCTTGTGCATAAGATAGTCTTTTCCTCTTAAATTTACATTCATATTGCATTGATTAATTTTCCATATATTATTAGACCATCATTAAACTTCAATTACATATCTTTTATAGCAAATTTCAATTCTTACTAATTTTTATTCGTGTTATAATTTATTCAAAGATAATCCAATTGTAACATATCATTGCTATTATATTATACTTAGATTTCCTACTTTTTTATCTAACCATAGTTAGGTGCCAGAATGTTGAGGATGATTTGATGATCTTGCCAGATGATGGGGGATTTGTGTGAAAACAGAACATCTTGTTTGGACTCCTGCCACTGGTCATTCAGTGTCTACAAACTGGATTCCCAAACTGATGTGGCAATGCTAGAGCCCTTTCTCATGCCAGAAGAACCTCAAGTGCCATGCCACATTCACCAACTCTTAACAAAGTTTGCAATCCTGTGTGATAACCATAAATCCAATGTCAAGCATGGCTTAGTGTGTTCTAAATCCAGCCAATTATGCCATATTCCATAAACAATTTCATGGTTGATGTGATAAATGTCCGCTCTTCCCTTGAACTTTTGGGCATTGGCTAGAAAGTCTTGGACAGGGAATATAAGAGAGAAGTCATATTTCCAACCACTTTGAAAAGACTTCCAGAAGAAAAAAAAAAAACCCTCCTTAACCATATCTGGAATGATATGTTCCAAAGAAGGAGAAGGAAGAAAAAATGAAACCAAACCTAAGCCAGAAGATCACTGGTTGTACAGTATGTCTCCAGTTGCAAGTCACTCTAACCACAGTGGCAGACAATCCCACAACATGGTTTTAAACTGGTTTTATTGTTTTAAAACAAACCTCAGGATATTCATTCATCTTTCTGTGAACATCATGGTAAGATGAGAACTATATAAAACTGCAACCATAATTTCAATTTGTAGAAAGGAATCACACGTTTGTTTTTAGACTCTTCAAATGAATCTTAGCCATTTTTCCCCACCTGAGGCAGTCCTTTTTATGCTGTGTCTGTCCACCATAGCTCCTTCACCTTAACTCAGGTCCCTTCAAAGCAAACTTCTAGCGTTTTTTTTTCCTGTTTGTTGTGCTCTTGCTAAAATTATTTCTTAAATGATTGAGACACCGGCAAAACCCAGGTTAATCATTGTACTGAAGTTTTTATGTTTCTAATTTCTTTTGTTCTCCAGAGAAACGTGCGCATTAGGAAACAATAAGTCCAACTTGTTTCGTTTTGCAATATCTGCTAACAGAAAAGTATGTTCTCAATTACCTCTTTGCAAGTTTATTTGCTATCTTTGTTTTTAATAAGCATCCCTGAAGCAGCCTGCAAAAAAGGAACTTTATTCGAAGGAGATTCTTTTATGATGTGTTAGACTGGAAGGAAATTGCGAAAGAGGACAGACGTACGCATTTACAAATGAAACATCCTGCTTGAAGTGAAAGATGGACAATATTTTTTTCCTGCACTGATGCTTGCTAATTAAAGGAAAGTTAGACCTTTTCAAATGTACCACAGCCACATGGCCTGTAACAGGAGACTGTGCTAGTACAGGAGAAAGATCTTTTTTGAAAAGGGCTGCTCTCATTTAATCCTGATTTGTTGAAACTCTATCAGAACTGGAGGGATTTTTTTTGGGAGGGGGACTTGTTTTAAAATTTTTGCCCCAATAATCATGCGATGATGCCAACAATAATGCCAACTTTAAAAAAAAAAATCAAAATTGGCTAATACTGTTGAGCAATTCACTACACTGTTATCACCTAACCACAATGTTAATTTTTGCGCACGGGGCTTCGTGTTTCTGCATTCTTTGTCATGGAACAAACAGTGTTGTCCAAAAAGTACATCTCGGTAACTGTTTGCCTGTGGATAACTTGATATTACAAATATTCTTGAACTGAGTTTTACTTGAAAATCTCTAGCTTAATTGATCATTACATACAAGCATTTGAATATAGGAACAGAGAGTCAAACTCCTCATTCAACTTCAATTTACTCTCATCTTCATTTTAAAATATCAGGTAAAATATGACTTTCGGGGACAACCATCTTCAGATAAAGCAATCTATTAGCTTAAGAGTATTGAAGTTTATGAAGCACCATTGTACTCTTGGGGTTCTTCCAAAATGGTTATATCTCTGGCTACTTAGAAACATGAGAGATTTATGGAACCTTCAAAGGAAATGTGTCCAAACATCATTAAAAAAAAACATTTGGCATAGGAAATTGTCATTTGGCATAGAAAATAGACTTGAAGACTCTGCTTGTGTATGCATCTCCTAAAACCTGATTCCTTAGTGAGAAGATGCTGGACAAAATGGAATATTGGTCAGTCCCTCAGTCTTCTGCTCCTCATCCTTCAGATGTCTTTTCTTCTACTTGTGACATATCCATCATCAGACGTTGGTGATCATGTGGGCAATATATCAACAGCCGCACAAAAAAAATGCTGAGTTTTGTACAAACTGGTCCCTTAGATTTGGAAGCCATGAAGTTCTTCAATTTTTTCCTGGAGGATTAAGTGAAGTATGCTGTATTTTTTTCCCCAGGTGTCACACTAGCAACTAATCCTACTTTGAACCACACAGGCAGCTATAAGGTCAGGAAGCTTTCCAAGCTAATTTTGAGATTCTAAGAACTGAACGTAAAACCTTCAGATGCCAAGAAACAAAGAGGTCCAACTGTTGACCTATTCAATTTTGTATAACCGGCACTGACCATCAGCAATTGATGTAAATCTCAAGCAGTATATTTTCTGGTCTTATCCGCAGAAGCCAAAAGTAAAACTGACCTTAGCCAAGAAAGATGCTCACTCTATAAGTGAAGCAACTCCTATGAAGCAGCTGGATCCTTTCCTCCACATACTCAAATCAAGGTTGCCATCCAATTGAAGGAATCTTAGTCACTTGCACATACTTAGGGCTACTAAATTAGCACTCCTTCTAAAATCTTCCTCCGTTTTTATGGCCTGTAATTCAAACCCATCACTTAGAAGAAGCCCTTTCACCCCATTAGTGCCAGAACTTTAACTAGATTGGCTGGCTCTTGTGGACGAGAGTTTAACCAGAATGTGAAATGTTCCAATTTATTTTATGAAATGTTTTTGATGTGAGAACTCAAGAATGGAACACTGGACGCAGAATGAGGAGGAACAGAGATCCGTTTGACTTGGATGACCTCCATGAGAGTTTGAGTTTAGAGTAGTCCAAAAGAGCCAGCTTTACTCCTATTTGCCCCCCCTCTCCTTCCAACTCTGTTATTCTATTACATTCTTTCTTTTTCTTTCTTTTCTTTCTCTCTTTCTCTTTCTCTCTTCCCTTCCAACTCTGTTATTCTATTCTTTTCCTTTCTTTC